TCCCCATGTTGGCCAGTCTGGTCTCGAACCCCTGATGTCAAGTGATCCAACCACCTCAACCTCCCAAAATGCTGGGATTACAGGCATAAGCTACCACACCAGGACTAACTTTTGTATTTTTAGTAGAGACAGGGTTTTGCCATGTTGTCCAGGTTGGTCTTGAAATCCTGGCCTCCAGTGATCCACCCGCCTCAGCCACCCCAAAATGTTGAGATTACAGACAGGCATGAGCCACCATGCCTGGAATTTTTTTTTTTTTTGTATTTTCAGTAGATACAGTGTTTAACTATGTTGACCAGGCTGGTCTTGAACTCCTGACCTCAGGTGATCCTTCTGCCTTGGCGTCCTGAAGTGCTGGGATTACAGGTGTGAACCACTGCACTGGGCCAAGCCCAGTTACTAAACCCCAGAGCAGGGCTGTGCTTCCCAGGAACTCCAGAAAGACTGCTTGACTTTTGAGGTCTTGCCAAAGGGGTGCAGATAGGAGGGCAAGGCGCAGGGGCTCTGAGGGCCAAGACATTCTGCTTATGCCGTGTGTGTGGCTGCCCTGCTTGGGAGAAGTCTCCCAGGAATGGAGGTGGACATGAAGTCTCAGTCTTGTTTTCTTGCATCCTGTAGTTGGGCAAGAAGCCAACCCTGCCCAGTCTACTTTGATCTGGCCACTTCTGTGGTCCTGGGGGAGTGGGTTGTGTGCCCTCCAGCCCTGAGCCTCGGGAGTCCCTGGGAGCCAGGGTGAGCAATGGGAGGGCAACCCCCTGTGCCTGAGCCACAGCCCTGGCTTGCTGCTGGAAGCAGGTGCCTGCAGCCACCTCACCCTGAAGTCTATGCCGACAGTGGCTATGAAGGCTCCGGACAGGAAGGCCCCATCTTTGAACTGGATCAGGAAACACGTTTTGCCGACGCCTGAGTCTCCCAGAAGCATCACCTAGGAGGTGGGGGCAGAGGCAGTTAATAGGGAGTCAGAGGGAGCTTCCGGGATTCCAGGAGGGACACATGGAGAGGATCAGAGAAGTGGGTGCTGGCACGGATGCTGACTGCACCAAGGGGCACCTGCTTCCAGAAAGCCTGCCGCCGCCCTCACCCTGCTTCTCCTCTCCAAGCTCCTTGGCTCAGCCTCCTAGGATCTCCCTCTGACCCTCCTGCCCTCATTCAAGTTCCTGGAAGCCTGAGTTGAGACCTCACCATGAATAGGTCCCCAAGTGTGCTTGGTGGCTCCAGAGAAACACCACATTTGCACAGTCTAGATGCTGGCCACATTTGCCCATAGCCACATCATGCAGAGATTCCGCCCCTCTGCGTACTCATGTCATCCCTTGTCCATTCCTGAGTACACGCATGGGCTGGGCTACACTGATAGGAAAGGAAGTGTCAATATCTTGGACAAGGATTCCCACCCAAGGGAGTCTATCAAGATCTGTTGGGGGTGGGCATGGTCATTTGCATATTCTGTAACGACTATTGTTTGGGGTTTTTTTTTTGGGGGGGGTTGCAACATTTATTTGGAAGTTTCTAATGACATTTTATGTTTATTAAAAGGTTGCATAAGGCCGGGTGCGGTGGCTCTTGTCTGTAATTCTGGCACTTTGGAGGCTAAGATGGGCGGATCACCTGAGCTCAGGAGTTTAGACCAGCCTGGCCAACATGGCAAAACCCTGTCTCTACTAAAAATACAAAAAACTAGCTGGAAGTGGTGGTGCATGTCTGTAACCCCACTTACTTGGGAGGCTGAGGCAGGAGAATAGCTTGAACCCAGGAAGCAGAAGTTGTAGTGAGCCGAAATTGCACCACTGCACTCCAGCCTGGGTAACTAAGACTCTGTCTCAAAAAAAAAAAAAAAAAAAAAGTGCTGGACACAGTGGCTCACGTCTATAATCCAGCACTTTTGGAGGCTGAGGTGGGCGGATCCCCTGAGGTCAGGAGTTCTAGACCAGCCTGATCAATATGATGAAACCCCATCTTTACTAAAAATACAAAAATTAGCCAGCATGGTGGCATGCTCCTGTAATCCCAGCTAGTCGGGAGGCTGAGACGGGAGAATAGCTTGCAATCGGGAGGTGGAGGTTGCAGTGAGCCGAGATCACGCCATTGCACTCCAGCCTGGGCAACAGGAGGAAAATTCCATCTCAAAAAGAAAAAAACTGCATGAATTAGGGAAAGTTAAAATTTATACTAAAGTGGGGAGATGTGTAGTCAGAAGTTCTTTCAGCAGAAACCTTCCACGTGGGACGCATGGCTGCAGATCGGCATCCTGGGGTTGCTGTGGGTAGCAGGGGCAGGAGTGCCAGGGAGGGAACCTATGGAGGGGTGTGGCCCTCTCCATTACTGTCTGGTGAGGCTCTGCTCATCTTCTCCAGGGACACGAAGGAATGGTGGAGAAGAGCCCTTTGTCCCATCGTTCACCAGTCTTGGAGAACAGGGGTCTAGACCCAATGCTGGATTTTCCCAACTGCTGGTTAGATGGCTTCATGGGTTGGGCGGGGACTAGGTTTGAATTATTTTTGAGGCTCTGAATTTGACTGAGGAGCCCAAAGGCATTCCTGTTGTTGGCATGGGGTACTGGGATTAGTTAACTTTGGTGGAGAGGCAGAGGCGGCTGAGCAGAAGGGGTATGAAGGATGGGTCTTGGTTTGTAAATGGCCTACTGTGTGACTTCAGGAAGATTCCTTAACCTTTCTGTGGCATGGTTTCCATAGTTGGTAGAAGGAGGAGGGATAATTTCTTTGAGGCCTTTCTAGAGTCTGGTCATGGCTAGGGCCAATCATCGTGGTGCGAACCACCCAGGGAAGAGTTGGCCAGGGGTGGGAACTGCCTGCCTGTGGCCCCCATCACCCGTCTGGTCCAAGGAGTGCCTGCCAGGCTCCGCTCAGAGGGTCCTGGGCTCAGTCCCCTGGGGCAGTTCTGGGGAGGCTGGGGACCAACTCTCCTGCCAATGTTGCTTGGCCTGGGAACAGATGGCCTGGTGGGGGATAGGAGCTCTCTGGAGCCTGCACTCCTCCCTGGCTCCTGGGTTCCAGCCCCGGAGCAGGAAGGAGGGAGGGAGGGCCACTCTTTGTGTACTTTACAGATCACAGCTGCCTTGAGCAAACGATGCCAGCTACCCACCCAGCTTGGTGATTCCACCAAACACAAACAGCTGCCTAGCCTGGCCACCTCCTAGGCAAACAGCCCAGCTGGTTTGCAGGGCAACAAGGTCAGGCAGTCCCCCTCAGCCTGGGGCCTGGGCAGCAGCAGCTCCCCCTTCCCCGAGGGTGCAGGGGCCCATTTCCTGCCACAAGCCCACACAGGACGCCTATCTCAACGGCTCTGGGCAGATGACTTGCTGAGTGGCTTCCCCTGAAACACTGGGGTGGAGGCTGAGGCTTCCAGCAAGGGTGAGCCCTGGTGTTGGGGAGGAAACCGAGGCACAGAGAGAGGCAGGTCTCCTTCAAGGCCATGCAGCAGAATCCAGGATAGCCCTCATGCCACCCCTAACCCTGCAGAGAAGTGGAAGCTCTAGGCTCCTTCAGCAATTCTTTCAGAGTTTCTGGTACCTGCTCACTCTAAGGACACAGATGGAAAGGGACAGACCAGTGTCCACTGCTGCCCCCACCCGCTTCCATACAGGGCACTCCTGTAGAGGGAGCAAGCCCCAGAGAGCAGCCCAGGAGCTCTGTCAAGTGCAGGATGTGAGAGACCATCCACTGAGATCTTTCTCAGGTTGGAAGAATTCCCAGGTGGGCTGCAGGCCGGCTGGCAACCTCCTTCTGGGAGGAGGGGCTTCGGATTGAGAGAGGAAGGTGGGGATGCTGTTCCTGGAGCGGGTGGAAAGGGAGGGGAGCAGCTGGGGGACCTCAGGCCTCAAACCTGGATGTCAGGTCTCAGCTCAGAGCTTAGCTCGGAAAATGGCATTACCGCCAGTTGCTCCGCCAGCAGGGGACGTCCTCTCCGAGTCTCCGTGAGGTCCCCATCTCCCAGGGCTTCCCGGCCTGAGCTCCCAGCGCTTCCCAACCATGAGAGTTGCGCGCTTAACCCTCACCAAGAAGCATGGGCTCCCGGGGGCTCAAATCGGCCAGAGTGTGACAGAAGAGAACTGAGTTGGGGCCGGCGGGGGGATCACTCAGTCCTGGCGATCTTCCGCGCCCCGCCCCCACCGAACCAGCAGAGACCCCTAGGGCTTGGGACGGCCCCAGGGGCTGTGTCCTGACCCTCTCTCCCTCCCACCTCTGGGAGACCCAGATACCCGCGGGGGGAGGGCTGAGTCCAACCCAGACGCAGCCAGGAAGGGGCTTGCGCCGAGGAGGGCGGGGGTCTCACGGAGAAGGCCCACCCACCTTGCCCGTGAGGTCGTAGCTCGGACTGCAGGGCGGGGAGCGATTGGGAGCCTCGCCATCCCGGGTGGCAGTGACGCCTGCCGTGCCCGTCATGTCCCCAGACGAGAGGTGAGCAGGGCCGGCCCGCAGGCGAGCGAGAGCGCAGGAGCCGCCCCGCCCACTCCTCCCCTCCCTAGACCAGGACCCCGCAGGCTCCTCCCTCCTTCCCGCCGCCCCCTGGACGCCACCGGCTAGGAGCTGGCTGTTCCCCGAGGGCGCGCAGAGCCGCGGGGTTGGTGCCAAGGGACCGACGGCCTTCCCAAGCAACACCGGCCCGGCTCTTTGGGCTTGGGCCACATCTTCCGGTCCCCTGTGGTCTCCAGCCGCGGGCTTGGTTGCCCC